CAGGAATGGAAAGTGTTAAGTGATGCGTAGTGAATTCAGCTGTGCTCACTCTTTTTAGGCGTCTGAAAAGGTGTGAAGAAATAAAACCCATTCTTCGTCAGCTCTACGCGTCATCATCTCTCAGCAAAGGCTGCGGGTGTGCTGGGAGGTGGCGGGATTCGTGCACGTCGACGTGTCGGCAGTCTGCGCCTGCTCTGCCTGCTCTGGCACCCCGGCCTGGGGCAGGGCTGTGGGGAAGAGCATGGCTAAAGGAGCAGGCGCAGGCCCAGGCCCAGAGAGCCGTTTCGCTAATGATAAAAAATGCAAACTCGCAGGTTTGGTGCTCCAGGCCTGCCAATGGACTAATTAGAACGCCTTAATTAGAGGCGAGTAAACTACTATTGGGAGTTTGCCATTAAGCGCACTGCTGGGCCCCGCTCCTCCACGGCCCAGGAGGCAGAAGAAGCTCAGGTGCTCAGGGGCAGCGCCTGCAATGCCTCCCGCTCCTGCCCTGCCCGTGGTCGTGTGTGGGGCAGGCACCCATGGGAGGGGTGCACGGGTGCTGCAGAAGGGCGAGCCGAAAGCCCAGGGCCTCCCGCCCGCTGCCTGGAGCCAGCAGGGACCCTGGGCCGACCTCCGGCCCGCGCACCTGCCTCACTGCTCTTGGGCCTACAGCGTGGGACGATGTGACCACAAACAATGTTCTGAGGGTTTTATTAACAAGTATAATACATATGCGTTCTATACTAAATATAGTATGAGGACTGTACAGTACAAATTTATGTTCACAGTTTGACATGACAAAATGTCATTACTGAATTCCCATTGGACTACCAAAGTAGAAACAGTGAAGTACATTAAACATTCACATCTTTAGTAAGAAAAGATTACCAAAATGTCTCCATATTTGCAAGTTATAGTAATGCACACTAGAAACCTTTAATTACCCATTCGGTCTTATTAGCTTATAAAATATATTACATTTTATTAAAAAATTTCTGCATAGTTTATACAAGTATTAAAGTAAATATAACATCCCTGCTATATTTGCAGGTAAGAGATGCTAAGCAGAAAGATTATTTTGACCCTCTAATATTCAAAGTACATTAAAAAAAAGTGCTAATATCTGTAAAATACAATGAAAACTGGTGTAGCCCTCTTAAGATATGTAAAAAGCTTTGTAATTTTTTATAGAAAGGATTTGTATTCATCTACACATTGCTAACCTTGACAGAGACAACAGCGTATTGGACAAGATGCGGCGTTAGAAATATCACTGCAGAATGGCGGTGTATATTTAAATAAAACCACACACATTAATACCTGCTTAGCTTTTTGCGATTGTCTTAGAAACAAGTAATTTATTATAATCAAATGGCTTAAACAGGCACATTTTAGTAAAACAGTATTACCTGTTACACACTGCACAGTGCAATACTGCTAGGGAAAAAGGTGGGGTTTTTAAATATACATGTTCTGCAGGATTAGGGTTTTCTATCTTTGTATCTAAACTGGCTTCTCTTTAGGACAAAGATGGAAAGACTGACTTCAAAAAGTATTGAGTTGTGTATATTTAAAAATTACAAGATACCCCTCCAATCAAAGTTTGCTAAAATAAATCAGTGAGCCAGTTAAGATGTAAATTCACATTCTCAGCTGAAAAATGAAAGCCTATTTGTGACTTGACATTCCACAAAAAGACACCACAGATGCAAGTGAAAAATCCCATAAGTAAGGCATTTACATAAAATAATCTCAAGTATCTGTATTTAATATTTAAATTTCTGTTGTCCTATATCACAAGGCACTTGGATAAAGATATTTTAAAGTTCTGCTGTATCTCCACTGTATTTGTGCCCAGCATTAGCATAAATGTTTTCAGGAAAAAGGTACATAGGCTAATGAATGAACATGGCAAGTAACTTAGATTAAATTCTCCACAGTAACTCTTAGTTACAAAGAAATTCTGCTTTTAGGTTACTTGATTTTAGATTTCTAATTTAAAAAAAAAATAAACATTTTGTGAAAGCCTTAAAAGAGAAACAGAGCATTTGAAAGAAATGTTCCTTAAACATCTGAAATTTTATGCATTTGCATTTGTTAAGCTAAAAATGGAACCAGTTCTCATTAAGCTGCTTATTTTCATATGATCTCATCTGCTTTTTTCCCTAGAATATAATAGAGAATTGTTTTCATCCCAGGATACTGCATGTCTGTAGACTTGTGACTGATGCTACAGGGGCTCCACACAGACTCTCAGTCAGTGATGTGTCTGCATTTATGGAACTGCCATTAAAACCTGGAGCCTAATGAAGGAGGTCAATTCTGCTACTGCTGAGGATGAAAATATCCAACAAAAATCCCCATTCTAGAACAGCTACTCATGATATTAATATCATTCTCCAAGTTCCTCAATGTCAGTAACAACCTGGCCTACCAAAAACCAGACTGATTCATCTCCCAGGTTTTTCAGCTCCATAGGCAGGCAGATGAGGGCCAGTTACAAGAACATAGACTTGGCGTAACTTCCCTCAGTCCTAGCAAGGTGGTGAGGACCTGTGGTGCTGTAACAGAGGGTATGGATCTTCCTCACAGAAGCTTTGAAGCAATGTTCCCAGCCCTGCTTTGCAAATCTCTGTTCTCCCCTTTGCAAAGCACACGTTCAGGGCTTTATTCCTTAAATTAAACTGCCAGTTCCACATTCCCACATGTAACATTTGTTAAACAACTGAACTATACTTCCTATTTCACAGCAATCGCTGTAGGAGCATTTTTCTCCAGGAAGGACAGCTCCTCTCCTTCTCTCAGTCTATGGGTATGTGGATGTCAGCAGAAGAGCTGGTATACTCCTGTCACCAGGGAAAGGTTCTTTGCAAGATTATTTGTCTGCTGTTGGACTCCACAGGACGTAGAAACACAGCCTACCTCCTCCATACGCTCAAACAGACCCACCTGCAGATGGACACTCCACCTGCCACCTCCTGGAGTTTTATGAAACTCCTCCTCCCCTCATCCCTCCATTTTCCAGTGGGTTTTCCCAAGAGGAATTAAAATCTGACTTCAGTATGTTTAATTTGCAGGGAATGGTGTTTACTTTATGTGAGGGAAAGAACAAAAACGCACTGGTGCATGACAGACTGGAGAAATACATCCTGTTCCCTTGCAGTGCCACAAAGTCTGCCAGCTCATAAAGACAGAAACCTTCCCTTCAGTGGGCTTCCAGAGACAGAAACGTTTCTAGGGTCAACTGCAGGTTGCTTGAATTCAGTTTATTTTACCCAGTGAGTTGTGTTTGCTAACTGACATGGGAGTTAAGACTTGCTGATGTGGTATTTTAATGCAACAGACACATCCACAGGGAAGCTTCATCTACCTACCGTTGAGAGACTACCAGACTCACAAATTAGAGTTATCAAATGGATGATTTAGTACATGCTTTTGTCCAAAACAGATACATGATTCAATTTATCATCAGAAGTGTTTCATATCTGATGCTATCTTCTCATAAAAAAATTGTGGATTAATAATTTTAAATACCGTAGTGTATTAAAGTGGCACTCACTCACGATAATACAGTTTGGAGCCTTTTTGACATAACGATTTCTATTTTCTCAGATACAGCAAAAATAAAAAATTATTTAGAGGAAATGTAGGGGAGTGATTGTAGAGGGATACTCTATATCCCTGAAATGAGGTGCAGTAGGTTTCTATGAATATCATTTAATGCCATGTCATAGGAAAGTACCGTGTGTGTTCCATCCATACACTTGCACAGAAACCAGACACCCAGTGTCACACAAGGCCTTCATTTAAGAAATCCACCAGGGCATTATGCAATAAACCGAAGGATATAGTACACTATAACACAGAGGACAGATGACATTAGTTTAGATGCACAATATTATGTATGGACCAATTCCTGCCAATTTTTCTTCTTCACTGGGGTAAATGATACTATGACTAAATCTTTCTGTAAAGTAATTATATTGCTTAGATTTATTTCTACAGTGTTAGTCACTGTTTGGGCAGGGGGGATTTCCACATCAGGTGTCTTTCTAAAACTGTTGATTTAACTATATTGCAGAAATCAACACAGTTGGGAGAGTCCATTCATTGCATTGTTGAGCATAAAATGAGATTGTGTCCCTTATAGGGCACATAAATAAGTCTCTGGCAAGGACTAGCATTTTGGATATTCAACAACATTTACTACTTTATCAGTATATGCTGGGTTGATGATATGAAGAAACCAACAAAAGCTGTTAGTTTACAAATTCCCTTATTCACAATGGAATACATTAAACATACTGTTTGCAGAAAGGGTTTGCTTAGCATCCCCAGGAGAAAAAAAAAAAAGTGTTCACATTCTTTAGGTCTGACCCGTGGCAAGGACATAGAAGGGTTAGATAACATCTGTTACTGACCATACGTAAGCCTTTAATGGTATAAACTCAAGAGACTCAGACCAGCTGAATCCAAATTAAAATGCTTGTGTAAAAAAAAAAAGGTGTGACAAGAGTAAGGGACAGAAGACATTCAGACTAGCATGTGGCGTTTTCTGTGAAGAGCAAGATGGTCCGAACGTGAAAAGCTACGGTCACAGTCTGGGCACTGAAAAGGTTTGATTCCTGTATGCTTGCGGAAATGCCGCGTTAGTTCATCAGAACGAGCAAACTTCCACGTGCATCCCTCCCAAGTGCATTTGTATGGTTTTTCACCTGTAAAGAGAAACACAGAAGTGGGGATTTAAGACACAAACACATCAGTTACATATCTGACAGATTTACCCTCTTGCCTTGTCAAATTTCGGCAAGTACTTTAATGCTTACTCAAAAAGCCTCCAAACAGCACTGGGCTGCAAAGTACTCTGCACTAGGAACTGTGCAGTTGAAGTTAACAGATCAAAAAATTGTTTCCTGCCACAACTTATTTTTCTATTGTCTCTCTGTTCCTCCCTCTGCCATATTAGCACTTGTTTTGTCCCATCAAGCCCAGAAGTGTGAAGGTTTAAGCTTCTGTTCAAGTATTTTCAAAACGAGGACCTCTATTCTAGATTAGTTGGGGGAAAAGACTGGTGCTAGCACTCAGCACAGCAGGCAGAAATCTTGTTGTGACCTCTTGAAGTTACTGCAGTACAAATAAATGGCACAAGTAGCTCAACTTAAAATCTCTCTCAGTTGTTACTTGATAATATGTGTTCTTCCTTCTCCTTAACACTATTGTGCTGCCCAATGTGTAAAGGACTGGCTTGATGCAAGACAGACATGAATTGGGCTCCTTTTACCTAAAAGTGTCCCGTATCTTTGTAAAAACCTTGGATGTGCATATATTCATTCAGCATGCCAAAATGAACATTTCTGCGGAGAACAAAGATGGGGATATGTTTATGGGAACACTCACTCAGAAAAGAGCACTATCGGACCAGTGGTTAGCATGTCCACATGAAGCTGATGTGTTTGTATTTGGCATACAGTCCAGACTTTTGCAAACAGGCTACTCCCATGGAAATCTCAGTGAAATTTAACAGTGATGTAAGTGGTGAGGTAGTGCAATTTGAACTGATTTGGTGTTTACAGGGTGTGCAGAATGAGTAATCTGCAAGCGACTGGACAGAAAATGAGCGAAGAGCCAGTGAATGTAAAGCATACCAGCATACACTGTGATCCTGCTTTGGCTTACAGTCTCTTGTTGTGGGTTTTTCCTGCTACATCCTCTGTCTTTTGCTCAGCCTATAATTATATTCAGAACAATGCTGGATCTAACTTCAGCCATTTTGTTATTTACACCTGTGGTTACTCGGCCATGAGCACAAACTAAAAGCTTAGTCTACTATTTTACCATAGACTTGATGAAAGAAAAGCACAGCAATGCTCAAACCTGTATGGGTTCTCCTGTGAGCTTTCAGATGGGAGCTTTTAGTGTAGACTTTGTTGCAGCCTTCATAATCACATCGATGTATTCTGCGTTTTCTTTGTGTGTCTGGAGATTCCACAGGTAAAGGTCTCTTTCCTGGCTGAACTATAACGGAAGGGTGATTCCTGCAAAGTCCAATTGAATGTTAAAAATGAAAACCATTTAGCACAGCAAACCTCAGCTAATATGATTCATGACAGAGCTCTTTATCCACTACCACTCTGTCTCTTGGCAGAAAGAACAACATTACATGCATGTCGAAAAATTCAAGAGGGTTTAGCAAGTTTCATGTATTCTAGCAGTAATATTTTTAAATGTTTAGTCACTCTGTGGCATGATGTAGCCATTTTTACTACTCCCTAGCTTTTTTTAAACTTACGAAGGAACCCCCCCCCTTCAAATTCCTGTTTTTCAGTCAAACCCAGATTTCTCAAACTCTGAGTTCATTGTGAACTTGTATTTGTTCACAATTCTTCGTCCTTCAAATGTAATTAATTCACTTGTAATTGGAAAAAGCTATTTCATATTATTAAAGAAATTGTATCTTTAGGATTTCAAAGCAGAACTCAATCTTTATTGTTCCAGCCACTCCTTTAGAGAGTAATTAAGAATTTCCTGTTTGGTGTTGGCAGGAGGGTGCGGCCTCCCTATACCACTGACGTCAATTCCTAAAAGTAGAGTTTAGCCTGTGTGGCACACCCACAGGATGTCTGAAGTTGTCCCTCCACCTTCATAAACATCATTTTTTTGCTTTTGAAGCCCACAGGTACAGTGCAGGTAAGACATGTAGTAACTCCATATGGACTTCTGTAACAAACAAAACCATAAACTTTCATGCATGTGAAAACAGATCAAGCTTCTTAAAAGGCGTCATCAACTGTAGGTATTTAGGTTTGAACAACACCCTTACTGAAGAATTAGGGATAACCTTGATTCTTTCTTCCATATCAATGTTAGAAAAGGAAGTAAGTATGTTCGTCAAAAAAGTAAGTTGCATTACAAATCTTGCAACCTCACAAAGTTGCATTTTTCAACCTGTTCGCAGATTTGTATCAGGGCTTATAATATATTTTTTTAGCTTTTAACTGAAACTTAGTATATAATTTGCATATATTAGCACTCCTTGTTGCAAAACCAGCTCCTTCACGTGACAGGAATAAGCTTTCTAGAACTCCCATCTTTACTCAGTTACTGTATTTCACATTTCTTTACTGATCGAATTACATTTTATAATACGAGGTTATATTAGTTACTTAAACCAACTTCCTTTAGAGCCTAATTTTCAATAACACTGAATACCTACTTCTGTCAGCAAAATAAAGGGCATGTGCTAAAGACAGAAAATCCTGTGCGTGGTTTAACAAGAAAAAAAATTTCTATTATTCTCCACAGCAGCACGATGGGAATTACTGATGTGGGAAAAGTTTAACTCTGTTATTAATTCTTTCCATAGAGTTACAAGCTTGAAATTGGGAGCCAAATTCTCTTTCTTGGGTGTTTCTGTGACTGTTGAGTGATGTACTCTTCAAGTACACATTAAATCTAGCTAAAAATATTGTAATGGCAGGAAACCCCAGATGGTGATGTTAGACACAGATGTACATACTCTTAAATAAGAAAGGCAGGCTTTCAGCTTCCAAAGAAATGCTTCTCTAAAGCAATGCTCAGTTTTAATGCTGTTCCTTACTAGTCTTTTTGGAGAAGCTCTGGCTTAGGGCAGCAAGCAAACTTGGTTTAAATCCCTATGTGTGGAGGCTAGTCCTGGACATGGTAACATCTGGAAAAAGGGAGAAAAAGGGTATTGGCTGTACATCGTTTGTGATGGTTTTCAGTCTAAGAGTGGGTAAAAAGCGCACTGAGAATTTGTCTCATTTTCTTTTTAGAGGAAAGGAGGCTGGCAAGACTACAGAATGTTATCAATTATCAGATAGGGTGTGGTAGTTTTTAAAAATGGTTAAGGCGGTGTCAAAAATCAGAGGTAAATATTAAGTAAGTGCCAATAATAAAAGCACAGCCCTAATTCTTTCATTCCCTCTTACACAACCAGATATACATTCATGTAAGTCTAACCATTTAAGCGCCATTCTTTAGTAGATAAGAGTATCTTCCAAAAAAAGTTACAATTTCAACAGCTTTTTCTCCTTGTTTACCAACAGACAATGCTACGTTGACAGCATGATTTAGACTCTGATACTTGCACTCAAAAGAAAATACAACATTAATGACGCTTCTTATATTTGGTCACAGATTATTACCTCAAGTTTGATTTTAGAATTAACTGCATAGATACATCAATAATCAGACATACTAGAAAGCCCAGTAATCCCTACAGAAATGCCACCAACTTTATACGTATGTGTATATCAAAAACTAACAATGAAGCAAAATCAGTCACTTAAAAGTGAGACTGAAGGCTTCCTCTGCCCCTTTAATGTAGCTTATGTGTCTGAATAGTGCACTTTGGGCAGTTGGAACCTATGAAAAATTATAAAAAATCATTGCCTAACTATAGCTCATAATGCAGAGAGGCTGACAAAGCTGTGAGAGAACAGGAAATTTTATAAAGGTCTAGGTCTCTCATCTTGTAACTTGTGTGATTTGCCTACGGATTTTTTTAAATGAGAGAAAGATAAAAACTACCATTTACAAACTTCTTGTTACGGATACAGCAGAATGTGAATTTGAAAGGGCTGGCTTTAGGAATGAGCAAGGACTGCATCTCTACAGGAGAGCTAGGAAGCAATTTAAGTCATTACAATGTGAGGAGAAGGTCTCCATAAACATAATACTCTGCATCGGCAAGCCAAGGAGATGCTTTGGAAATATCGACTGTTCAAATGCTTTTTGTAACAACACTACCTACATGTTACACCAAATTTTATATTCTGTGCTCAGCGGATGGGTTTCCTGTGGAAACTGGACTCATTAGGAGCTAATTAATGCAAATCACTAATGGAGGTGACAAGTCTGCAGAAGTCTCAGCCCTGGAGGAAGGGTGTGGTATCAGCTAGGAACGGCACTTACTGGTTTGCTCTTGTTCAAGAGGCCCAACAAAGAACAAATGTAAGCTGAACCATTTGATAGCTCTGACCTAGCAGAAGTTAGTTCCAAGTACATACAGACCTGATTCCTTTGTGCGGCAGGTCCATTATGGAAGATAAGTAACCACCTAGTAAACACGGATTTTTACTGTTTTATTATATGTTTATTATAATAAAACATATAAGGTTATTTTTAAATAAACAGCATGTAGTTTATAAAAGCTAGCTGGCAACTAGTTAATTGCAAAGAGCCTGCAGTCTAGAAGCTGCATCTAAGCTGGTTAGAGACTTGAAAAGAATGAGAGGTGCCCACAAGAAGGCTATGCAGAATGTAGTTAGCCCTGGAGCCACGGTGTGCCTTCTAACTGGGGAATGGTCATGAGCAGGAGGAAGAGGCTGCCTTGTGAAGGAAATGCAGAAGACCGCCTGTCCCATGCCTTCTCTCTCTTTCTGAATCACCTCGCACTCACACACTGGTTTTCGCAGTCTGGCTTGGAGCCCAATTTCCCCACTCGAGGAGGTGAGGTCTTGTACAACCGCTCCAAATCTGATGGTGAACAGGAAAAAAGGGCAGAAATGTATTCTGAGGTCATGTACTGTGAGCCCAGCTCAGTTCCCAACTTCAGCTCCTGCCAGAGCCATGCTGGCAGCCTGCATGCCTGCCCAGAGCACTGCCTGCTGAAGGAAGGGCTGGGCTCTGGGCCATTCCATGATTCTGGTAAGTTGACAGAATTTTCCCTAGGAAAATGGGAAATGGAAGGGTGCCCATGGCTCCTCAGGTACTTCGTGATAAATTTTTAGTAAGTTCAATTAAAAAGTTTCTGTCCCAGACCTCACTACTTCTTTCTAGCCCTTGCTCTGCCTTCTACAAACAGGACTGTTTTAAATCCAGTTAGATGTGTGATCCAGTTCATACAATGGCCTCAGGAACAGTTGCACCAGCACAATGAGTTGGTATTGGTGTGGAAACAAGTGGCTGGGAGGAGAGCAAGCTTCAGGAACTACTTGAGCTGCCAAAAAAACCACCCATGGAACAATGGCCTCAGGTAAACATGGAATTCCACTGGATATATACAGAACTTGTAAGGCCTGAGGGGGTTCTTCCCACCAAGTAGCCAAAATTTTTTTAGAAGACAAAGAGGTTCTCCAAGAAAAGAAAGTCACAAGAATCTTTTTAAAGAAAGGTATTTTAGGTAACATAAATACAGAGATCAGTATGAAATGTCTTTACAATAGCTTTCCAGCTTGTGGCTGGTTTTACATAAACAGGTATCACTGGCTTATTGGGAGTCCAACTTTCACTAAATTGCAGGATTGGGACTAGCATTACTTTAGAAATGCATGATATAAATGGCAGATCTATGTGGTTGTGATGTATAAATATGTATCAACTCTGGTATTGCTAAAGAGGGAAACAAAAAAGTTGAAATCACCTTTCACAGTGGCAGTGTGGGGGGGGGAAGGATATTTTTCTGTGTTTTATTACATGTTCTAAAGCGCAGCAACACTCCCTCCCACTCCTCAAAACAGGTAACTGCTGCAGTGAACTGCTTTGCATTCTTCTGCTGATCTTGGGACTACTGTTAGCTACTTACTCTTGCAACATTACTTGCTGGGGGGACAATGAGGTCATCATTGGAGGTGACATTTGTTCAGGATAGAAGTCAGTCTTCAATGGTTCACTTCCTGGCTCTACTTTGATTGTTTTCTTCAGTGTAGGCTTCTCATAAGACTCAATGACAGGCACTGTATGGGGGAGGGTAGGAGAGGGAAGGCAACACATCAAAAATATGGAGAGTTACAGAAATAAAAAATATATGTAAAAATCTACAGTTAAAATAAATCCCCCAGCTCTGTATTTAGTGCAACAATTTATGCTAAAATACACAATCTTCCAGTTTTAGTCTATCTCCTGATGAACCTCAATTCAAAACAATTCTATGCATTTTCATCAGTCCAACATTTTTATCAGTCCAAATCTCAGCGGATTACCAGCTTTGCGCAGGTATAAATCAGAACAGCAAACAACCTTGGTAAGTTTGGTAAAGTATTTACACAGTAAATTCTATGCCTGCATATTTTAGAAGAGAAATTACATTCCATTTCCCAAGATGCAAAAAACACACAAAAATGTGCTTGCATATAGTTATTTTCCCAGGATAAGATGGCATAAGAAAGAAACTCTGACAACACCAACCTTGCATGCTACTTGGGGTTTCCATCTCGTCTGCAAGAACTGTGGATACCATGATAGGTTGCTGAAGATGGGGAGCGTACATAAAAGGAACCGGCTGGACCACAACAGGCTGTATAACCGGGAGTATTCCAGGGCTTCTCAGTCCGTGGCGTGAGAGAGCAGCGGCCATGACAGGTGGGATTGTTATTGGCATGGAAATAGGCTGTACTCCTGGGGGTGACGGTGTGAATTTACTGAGAGGTGAGCTGGGTGAAGACAGAGTCAATCCAGGTGAAGTTCTCCTATGCACAGTCTGAAATTTTATAGGGGAAGGAGAACTTCCAGTTGAAGGTGGTGAGCTCCGTTTGTTCACCGTAAGGTCTACTGGTTCCATCTGGATTCCGTTTGATAGTCCTTCGGGGTTTGAGTAGAATTTATTGTGCAACATACTTGGTGTAGAATAAATGACGCTGTATTTGTTTGGCTTCATTTGGTCCATGTAATTGGACGGGTATGACTGTCAGAAGGAGTGGAAAAAAAATAAAAATAGTAAATCAACACACACACAATTATCACTGAAAGAGAAAAACAGCTAATAAAACTGAGGCAAAATGAAAAAGTTTCAAGAAAGCACTTTAAAGTACTTTCTAAATAAAAGTGAATTAAATAAAGCCTAAGATTTCACACAAAGGAAGTTATTCAAGTACTGATTCACTAACTGTTTCAGAAGCAATGTAAAACAGATGATGAAAACAAATCCTCAAGGCTTATTCAACTCTCTTTCTCCCTTAAAAACTGCTTTTCATATACTAAGCTGCACATTACTTACTGACCGGGGAAATACATGGTGCTATGCCCAGCATATAACTATATACTGAGGACCATGAAGTCAAGCAAGGGGGGAGTTAAATTGAAAGTAATGGGTCCCAATGCTTAAGTAATTGGAAAACAATCATCACTAAAGTAAGAAATTATGTGTCTGAATCCTACATGCAATAAAAAATACACAGTTGGAACTACATAAGCAATGGGTAAGAAATTCAAGAGCGCAAAAGGTAAATTCTAAACTTTTTTTTTTTTTTTTGAGAAATAAAGCAGTTAACTAGCCAGTCTGATTTTGGAAAACTAGTACAAGGACAACCATCTGGCATGTTGTAAGAATATTCCTGTTAGCGGTAGCTAGCAGTTCTCATTACAAGATCACATAAGCCCCAAAGCTGATCTTGACCTATGTGACAATCCCCACATTTCAGTGGAAATAATTTTTGGAAACCAAGAAGCATTAGTATTCATTGCAGAGTACAGCAATATTAAATAAATATCTAGATCAATTTTGCATTTAAAAAGTGTTGAAAACTGAGGTTGTTTACTAACAGATAACTTACAATGGAAACCGATGAGATGTTCTAACATAGGAGATAGACCAAGAAAATGCAATCCACACAGTTTTTTAGCCCTTAGATATAAATTTTTTGAAATAAAATGCTACCTTTGGATTCTAGGTAAGTAAAGCTTTACATTAAGGCTAAGAAGTTTCACACTAATATTAAAAAACTGCTGAATTATTTGGCACCAAAAAGACTTTGATGAGTGGGATTAAAAAAATGTTTAAAATGGTAGAAAGTGAAATAGATTAGAAGTATAAGACTATTGTATTTTTATACAATCATTTCCATGACATTTCAGTTATTTTTTTCCTGGAGTGAAAACTTCTAGCAATACATCTTCCTGGTTTCTTACCTCTGTCTTCCCTGTGAGGGACAGTTTTCCGATTTTAAAAGTCAACATTAACTAGAAGTATTTTTGCAAAATGACACAAATGTATTTTTCTTCTTTTCAGTTACTGTTTGAAACAGTGAGTCTAGAAAATACTAAATTTTCCTGCTGCATTCATAGCACTATGATGAAACAACAAAGCTGAGTCACTTACTCCATAAAATACTCAAATAAAGCAGCATACACAATGATTATTGGTCTTCAAACAGTAAATATTCATTAAAACCTCTGAAACTTACTCTCTTTATAACTATTCTTACAAATTCAATCCATAAAAACGTTCATCTTTGATGGTAATCGGCTCCTCAGAATTCTATTAAAATGCCATTATTGCAAGCAGTGCTGGCTAAAACAAGTTCAATAGATATGCCACCACTGTTGAGACAAACGACAAAATTATTAGCATTCTAAGTGATGAAGGACACTCAATATTGGTAGAGTTTAGTATTTAACAGTATTTAATATCTACTAAATCTGACCAAGTTATGGGCATAGGCAAAAATTAAAAATTTAAACACACAAAGAAATATGAAGTGCTTCCATTAAAATTGCTGTTATTGCTTTACAGTACAAAGTCTATTCAGCTTCAACAAACTGTAAATATTCCACAACTAAGCATCAGTGCATTTACAGTACTGCAGGTTTGTCAGGGATGACCACAAGGTCACTACCTACGAACAGTTCTTCCACTGCAGGAATACTAGAAAGCAAAAAAGAACATGCAATTGAAATCTTAGGGAATGTTTTTGGTCAATGAGTCTCTTAAAGAATAAAGCATCTGCAAGCTGTAACCTTCCTATATAAACAGTTATCCTTTGCAACTCTTCAACTAACATCAGGGGTATGTGTGTTGAAAAAATACCAAACTATCAAAATGTTGTGCAGAGAACTGTAAACTAGAAAAGTTAAGTAAAATACATTTAGACAAGCAAGAAGTATTTTCCAAGAATTAGGAAGAAAATAATGATGTTTTTAAGAACTGATTATTTTAGGGACTTGGTATTTTACCCCATATGCCTTGCATTATTTTGTATAGAAGGTTTTCATTGTTGTAATTTAGCTGGCACAGATTTAACATCAGCTATTTTTTCCGGCAGCTTGAGGAAGCTGCACAGTTTTTCTAAACTTTTCTTCCTTCTGCAATTTTACTACCTTCACTACCAATGAAGTGTGGTTGAAACCCTGTTCATTTGGAGTAAGCCACACTCAGCTCTATCTCCTGGTTCTGAAGTTCAGTTTCCCGTATCTTTCAGCACAGCAACATTTCAGTTTCTAGCTCCCTGGGACACAGCAGTTGCCATTAGCTTGATATGAACCACCGCTTTCAAATTTGGTACGTCACTTTCCCTTTCTTTGCCAGGGAAGCGAACAGTACCCCTTGGAGGATATGGGATGGGAGAGTAAGGAAGACTTAACAGTCTCTCTCTGTAAATAGGGAGCATTAACAACAGCAAACAAAAAAAAAGCCCAACTACCTCTGTTTGGTTTCCTAAATGCCACCAACTGCAGGAAGCGGGAGTGTACTGCATAGCCTCCAGGAGCAGTCTTTTCTCACCTGCCCTAGAACTTACACAAAGCATTCTGGTGGAACAATGGAAAATTAGGTATCATTGTTCTGTTTGCCTGAAATATTTAAGCTGACACATTTTCCTTGGATTTCTACTGTAGGAATTAACAATGTATGTTAATACATATTCCAACAAATTCCCACTTCCCTGTAAATTCTGCTTTCCTAAACATCCCTGTGCAGAATGGTATGTCACTAGAGTAGATCACTATAAAGATGCAGGATTGTATTTCAATATATATTCCCCTTTACAGTCTCCATCTAGCTTATCATCACTTTCCCTCCTTGGGCCTTACAAAGCAATTCTTTTACCTGTCTTTGCTGCTTGTCCCTAATAAAACCCAGAGCACTGAAGCCACAAAGAAACTGGAAAATAAATCTAAGGAACCTCTAATATTTTTGAGTCATATCCATGTAGCTCCTACAATTAAATCAATACATCCAAAAGTACAATGCTTTTCCTCTTGACAATCTATCAAGAATAAAGCTTGGCCAAATATGTCACAAGCACACCTATCACCACCCAGAAGACTGCTGCTTCCACAAGGGGACATTATTGAGCACTAATCTGATATAATTTGCTAAATTCTGTTATCCTGCCATAGTGAAACATCTTTGCTGTACAAGTGAACAGATTCTGAAGCAATTCACCAAGTCTTTTATAAACTACATAACCCTATGAATTTAACTTTAAAATTTAGCCAGCCTCTTGGAAAAACAGAAACAGGTGAAGAATCTACTTACCTACTTACACTACTTGTCAAATCAGTATCATGTAAGAGGATGAATAGGATTTAATCCAAATAGTAGCTAATACATGAAAAAGCATTCTCACCATGTGAAATTTGTATTCCAGTACACTACTTAAGACCTCAACTCCTCATGTAGCACATAACAATCTTTAAAAACAGGTGAAACAAGTAGTTTTGGGATTGATGGAAGGGCAGAAACTCTTTATTTCAATTCAAAGAAAGACAGTTACACATAAAAAAGCAACTTCTTTCACTAAATGGTAACCTGTACTTGTCCAAATGTTTAAAAACTCCTCTCAGCAAATACTTAGGAAGGACTCAGATGACTTTGTCACTAGTTCATTAAGAACTATCATCAAATGTGTTCAATAATTGAATTCAACAAATAGCATGAGCTGTTGGTAGAGTGATGACATACTGTGCGTGCGAGATCCAGTCATCTGAGAAGTATAGTTAATCCTCTCAGCCACACACCCTGAAATACAGTGGTGTCAAAACCATAATTTGTTTCCTTCTTCCACCCCAACTAATGGGATTTTTTGAAGACAAGACTTTATATTTATGGACAGTGTATGTTCAGGTAAAATAACGAATGATTCCTAAGGGGCTTCATTTAGTTTGGCCTCTAATGATAGTATTGTAATGAAAGATACAATACAAATAAATCCTAATTTTAGATTTCTGAGTTATGTTGGTCTGCAGCAAACTGAATGCTATGCTTAGCACCTCCAAAACATCACACTAATAGTTTCCCTTTCCTTCCACCTCCTCAAAAGAAGGTCAAGAAAACTAACATACTTATTGGTTGCTATCCTTTCCTATCTTCTCTCCATACCACGACTCCTCCCTTTAGAGTTGTCTCCAGAGCAGTTTCTGCCAGGGAGCTGTGGCACCAGGGCTCCAAGGAAGCTGCAAGACCAAGAAGCTCTGAGGAAGCCAGGACCTCAAGGGCTTGGGGCTAAACAGCCTGTGTGTGTACAGAAGCTGAAACACACACTCCTCAGCCCGAGGGAAACCAGAGTAATCTCCATAAGGGGAATCTCACTCAAAAAATGTCCTTTCCTCTGGACTTTCTGCTTTTCCTTTCCTGCTTTTTTTTTTTTTTTCATTATGCAATAACAAAAAGAAAGCATAGAGATTTGGTAAAATGCTCTGAAGAGTCTCCAACGGCTGGTCAGAGTGACGGTGAGTTATAAGAACACCCAGGATGACTCCAGAGGTCTGACGCATGGAAGGTACCACACCTCTGCAAGGAGCATGTGGTACAGGATAAGCAACATTTGGAACTAGAGTCTTGAATGCACGTGGCTCAGAAACTCTCCCTTTTTCTTCCCATTGCAGTTTTTCCTTCATCTACTGGTCTGGGGAAGACTGTTCAGTCCCCTCCTGGTCAGCCTGTTGAGGGACTGATCCTGTCCATCTTGCAGAAGCACACA